AAGCCCCTCGTCTGCAAACCGTTGGGTAGATGAGTGTGATTTTGCGGCCGCCTGTGTGTGCCTTGATAGCTTGAATAAGCATTCCTGCGAGTGTGTGTGCAATTAGGGTCTGGGTCTGTTTGTGTGCATCGTACTGTATATGTATGTGTGTGGTTGCACGGCGGTGGTGGGGGTTGTTAGCGGTTCCATCTGGGCCTCCTGGAAGCCGCGTGGAGTCAGAAAAACCGCATCTCATAAAAGAGAGGCAGCTCAATGTTCTACAAGGACAGAACATTACTGAGAATGTCGCTCAGGAAAGCCTGGGCCCCGGCCCACATGTTGGCTCTCCACTCTCGCTCTTATTATTCTGTTCTGTGAGGGATAAGAGAGAGGAAGACAAAATAGCTGGTGAGGAGTGTGGGAGACAGTAGCTGAGACAGACAGACTCGCACTGATTGCTATTCCATCTGTCGGCGTGGAGCAGAGGAGTGAGCGGTGACAGGCTCAGGAATCAGGCGGTCCAAAGGGGGGCATCTGGTGCACGTTGGCTGAGGGAGGAGGAGGAAAAACATGGAGGGCGATCCACAGCGCTGATTAATAGAGGCATTGATGTTGGTCAAGTGTTTTCTCAAATTTAACAACAAACCAGCAGAAAAAGTAGGAATTAAAGAGACCAGAGGTAAAAATGAAGCAAAACGTCTGGTAGCCTGAATTTTCAAGGCATGATTGTAAAGCTGCGTTTGCCAAAAACAAACTGAAACTTTTCTCTGCTTATTAACGATTAAAGTGGTTAGAGTTTCACTGATCCAGGCTAAGTAAAGCTGCTTTTAACAGGCAGCATCTGAACTACAGTAGATGAATTAGGAATAAAGTATAAAAACGACAATGGAAGAAACAGCAAACACCCCAAACTAAAGGCCACAGTTCAACGTTTCTTTAAATGAAACTGGATTTTTATTTACAGGGATGGATTCTGACCACTGATCAAGTATAAATACAGTTTTATTTTTGCTTTTTTTATGTTTTAATCAATGACAAACCCTTTAAGTCTTAATTTTACTCTTGCAAAATGCCCTTTTTTTCTCTTTCCTTATAATCCTGAGAAAGAAAGTCTGCATACCAGCCAGATTCAGTATAATTGCATTTTTTTCCTTTACTTATTTTAATTCTACACCCAAAAGTTTATATCCTTCATTGCAAAACTAACAGCAGTGTAACGGCTATCTAATGATACTTGCATGGGCTGTTTTAAAGTTGCAGAAATCAGCCTATTTCAGCCCAAACATATTTCTGTTTATTTGAACAGATGTGTGTAGTTATAGGAAAGACGGATCATTTTGTGAATGATAGGAGCTGCTTTACTGGAGAGTATACCTGAATGTTCTGCAGGGTAATCTGACCTTGGCTTCCTCGGAACGCTGCGGTGAGGTAAAAGCAGCACCACTGAGCTGAAAGACGCTGATGCAGGACGGATATGAGTAAGCAGCACACGAGTGACAATTCACGGCTACGCTTATACATCCGTGTTGTACTGTACGTCAGGAGCGTAGGCGTGTGACTCATGCGGCGCGTACAGATCAATCCAGATGGAGCAATGTAATCTTGACCTCAGGTGCTTTTTTAGTTTTTTTTATTTTTCCACATCACAGCATGCAGCTCACTTAAACGCGTCTCCTCACAGGTCTGAGAAACGCATTTATTTCAGTTTCAGCAGAACGATTTTCTCCTGAGGATCAGAAATGAGAACAAGGAGACCAGAGGGAAACTCTATAGTGAATCAGAAAATGCTACGTCAAATATATAACGGTAGCTGATCTCATCGTCTCACGCAGGTGGAACAAACAGTTTCTGTTCAAATCCTGAATCACCATAAAAAGCCCTGCATGCAGCCATTTAACACAATAACACAACGTATCATTAAATAACATCCCCCCGACATCATTATTAAAAAGACAACTTATTATCCATCATCTCCAATGCCATTCTCCTCATTTTATCTCTCATTTAGCGTAGCGTAGTGGTGAGGAACACACCCCTGACATAAAGCGTTGCCTGGAGGCTTCGGGAAGATGATTAAATTTCATAGCTACTCACGGGCTAATAGGGCCGAGCAACGAGCGCTTACTGTCCTTAAGTGACTGGCTGCTTCTTTGTGGCCACGGCCCCTTTGAAGCCCTTCCGAGGAGATCTGGAGGATTTAGGCAGTAGCGTGACATGAGGCTGAGCAGTTAAGCAACAGTGCTCCCACCAGCTGACTATTAGATCCAGCTGATAAAAACTCAGTCCTCCCAGTAGCTTAATACCCGCTGGAAAATACAGCCTTTAGTCAGGGGAGAGCGCTGAAAGCTGCACTATGACTGCAGTTAGAAAGGAGTTATACATAGGTCATTATTCAAACTATAAACTCTTGAACTATTAAAGATAGTTAGAGGAGATTATATAAAAAGAAACAGTGGGCCTTTCCTGCTGTGATCTGTTTGCATCTGTCAGCTTTGGTCCGACTGTTTCTAATAATTACTTCATCATTAACTGGATTTAACAGTTTTTATATGATTTTTTCTCTGCTTGGAAAAAAAAAGGTAAAAAACAAACTAAGGCTAAATGAAGCAGCTAGTAGAAAAGTGTTTTTATAATTGCTCATTTATATCATTACAGTGTATTAATTTAACAGGAAAAAAATTGAAACCTGATTATGATGCGTTTAATAAAACAAAAACATGATTTCTGTCATGCGGTGAAAATCTTAATAATGTTGATTAATACTCCTTAAATGTTTAGATCATAGTTAATAACTTTTTTATTATGTACTAACACATGAAATAATAAACAGCTGTAATTAACTTTTAATTTGCTTGTGTATAAATTGCTTGTTTTTTTTTAAGTAGCTGCAAAATTTCTATTTCACAAAAATTAAATAGAAATGTAGATATTTTGCAAATCTGTACCATTACTTATATCAGTCATTGATGATGTGCACCGTCATGGAAAAGTCGTATTGGAAACAAGTACCTGCCAAAGGTTCCTAGGTCCTAGGTCCCTCTTATTTCAGCAAATATTTTCATAAGAAACAGATCAATTAATACACTTCTAAAAATGAAAAAAACAATTAAATTAGGTGTATTTGTCCTTAATTTGAGCAGTTAAACAAGATGATCTGCCAAAGGAAGATTTTTGCCCCATTATAAGAATAATAGATAATACGGACTTGAAAAAATCATTAATATTTTTTCATTATAATTTTAAAATGATCATCTCACTTCATTAGCAAATTGTCTTACTTGTTCAAATCAAGGGAAAAACACTTTTTTTTTTTTCTAATTCTAGAAAACAAAATAGATTTCTGCAGTGTATGTTTTGAGCACCATGGCCATAATAGACAGGGACCCCTGTTGGCCCCTGCATACATGAAGGAATGCACACGCTTTCTTTACCGCAAAATTAGGCGGTAAAGAAACTGCAACTAATGATTATTTTTCTAATCGATTTTTTTCCACTTGAGAAGTGATGGATGGAGCATATTGCCAGACAAAAAAGTTTTTTTTCTCCTAAATGCAAAATATTATTTTTTTTTTTTACAATTTTGTTAGAATTACTGCTTTAAGTGGCTTACTCTGACAGTTAAAAGCATGTAACGGAGTCTCTAAAGTCCAGTTAACGATTAATCGATCACTAAATTAGTTGATAATTATATCAATAATGGATTAATCATGATTAATTGTTTAAGCCAGATTCAAAATGTAAGCAACTTACTGAAAAATGCTACAAGACAGTATATTGTTAAAATATATTTATATTTTTTTAATCAAATTATAAAATATCTATTTGAGCATCTTTTTTACTTTCACACTATGGTTTCCTCAGCGAACGTACGTGTTGATAAAACATAACATTTAAAAAAAGTGTATATAAACATGTTCAGCTCAACCTGATAAAAACTGAAGGAGCCCATTTGATTTTGACAGGAGGTATCCTAAAATAAAAACTGATTTTCAGTTAAATTAAGAAAAACATGCCATGTTTGAGTTATCATGTGTAAGGAGAGTCAGGTGTCACCTCATGCTCAAATCAAAGAAATTAATTGTCCAGAAATAATCTCTTCCTCTGGTGGGTTCACATGGGTTAGGTTTGAATGCTTTCCAAACAAGAACATTTTCCTCACAGCTCTACTGTCCACTGAACTCAACATCAACCTAAAGAAGCGAGGGGATCAGAATATTTCAGGAGAAATACATTCCCAACAACATGACGATGATTTTACTGCACCAATTAGCTGACAGAAACCTTTATGATCCACAGAATGCAGAATATAAAACCTCCCCCTTTAACTTTAACTGATCAGGTAGTATTGAAGTGTTAAAGAGAAAGGACCGATTCTTTTTGAGGAAATGCAAACATCTTTCTGTTTAACTGAAGCTTCCATGCGTTCAGATAAGCTGCACGCTTTACTCACACACAGATTTATAGAGCTAACCACATGCACATGTTCAGTCCCTGTTAACTAATTCATCCAGGAACACTTTGGTTTGGGTTTCAACACCAAAACCTCGGCACTGCTGATTGAGAGACGTGCCTGTCTGCAATTATCTGGGAGGGACGAGTGGAGGGAGGGATGGTTGGATGGACAAGGAGAGGAAACACTCTACGGTGGTTTTACAGTTTGCTGGCATCACATTTTTCTCCTCTGTTTTTCTCTCCTCTTTTTTTCAGCGGAGGGGCACGGTGTAGTGTTTGCAGGGCTGGAGAACGGGGGCAGAATGAGGTTGGAAAACGTTGGGAAAATGGCCGCAGAATTGGGCTGGAGTGGCCTAGATTGTCACTGCTCCGCTTTCAATCGATGCCTCTAAGAGTAGCAGCTCTGAGCCGCACGGTCGGAGAAATTAGTGAACTATTTTGGTGAACAACTGATGGTAGTGATCACGGGTAAGGGCTTATCCCCCCCACTTAAAGAAATGACTGAAAATTGTCAGCAAAGGATCCATTTTGTGTCCAGGGAGAGTGTTATCCAGGTGGCCGTCACTGACCTGCAGTATGTAGCCCCTGACGTAGTCTCTGAGGGTCCAGCCCAGACCGTGCAGGATGTGCAGCACCTCTTCCTGCTTGAGCACGGAGAAGAGGCGGTCCAGCAGGATCTTGAGCCTGACGGGGACCGCCTGGGTGCCGTACAGCATCAAGCTGCTGATGTCAAACACCACGTTGGACTGGACGATCTCCACCTGGGTCGGGTGGTAGAGGTGCTGGGTGCTGAGCTTGTCTAGAGCTGCAAAGAAGAACAGATGACGACATGAGGAGGAGAATAAAACACAGTCTCCTTATATTAGCCTTATACTGGGAGACAAGCCTTCAGGGTTTGTCCTGTTGGTCACCAGTAGGTAATAGAAAAGGTGCAAATAATATTAAATATAACATTTCAGTCTGACCAGAGCTCCGTCTTTCATGTGTTTGCTGTGTCCTGTGTGGTTTGTGGCAAAATGGAAACAAGTAAGCAGCTTCCTTCTTGCTGCTCCTCCATAAAAGACAGAACTGTGTTTATTTTTATACTTTTTATTTGACAAATCGTTGTCCTTTTAACGGAGTGCTCCATCTGAGCTGTGGATCTCTGCAGCTCCTCCAGAGATACCATGGATTTCTTGGACGGACTTGTTTGATTGTTGCTCAACCAAACCCAGCTTTGTACTTATACTGAAATGAAATTTCGGAAATTAAAATCCTGTAGGACCCTTGGCTGATCTTTGGCTGGTCCCCTACAATTCCGTTTTAAACATCCATCTTTCTACTAAAATATTCTTCCTGTCATGATTTGTGGACATTAAGATCTAAAGAAAAGCTCTATCTCCTGGTCTGACCCTGTAATTCAGTGAAAGGGTGGAGTAGGAGTAATAAAAATATGCAGGCCAAGGAGAAGGCCAGTGGCTGGAAGTTGGAGGGACTTCTGGGAGCTGCAGGGAAGTGAGCTGCCATTCAGATGGCTTTTGAATAAGAAGGGCCATTTTGAATGGCTGTTACTGGATTAATCCAAAACTAAATCATTTCCTTAAATAAATGACTAAGAATTGATTGTGCTGGTATGAAAAAGCGGTAAGCGCATTATTTTGTGTACTTTCCTAATCTTTGCTAACACACTGGCACTCTGACAGACTAGGAAAAATGTAATAAACTATTTTAGACATAAAAACATGTAAAGAAGGCTGATTTATGGTGCGGCTGTGATGTAAAAGTCCAGCTGGAGGACAGGTGGGCTCACATGTTGCTTTAGGTTCAGCAGATTGTTATTAGCTCTACTGTTGAACCTCAGTCACCTCTTTCCACTCGTTGGGTGTCTGGGCGACACCTGTTTGACTCGTCCTCTTTGTCTCCTTCCTTTCTTTCTTTACTTCAGCCCTCCCCCCCGCCCTCCCTCCTGTGCCTGTCTGGGTGACACCTGGCCGTGTCTCCCCCCCCCCTCTCTGATCCTGGGACGAAGGCTTCGCCTGACAACGGCAGCGCAGCCAGACACGAACATAATAAAATATGAAGAACTACTTGTCAGAGTCCCTGCCAATACCGACATGAAATGAAAAGCGGGGGAGAGAGGAGAGATGTGTGCCTGACAGCTCAGTTCAGAGGGAGAGATTAAAAAATAGTCAATGGGGTCCTGTGCGGACGGCTGAAGGCCCCGCAGCCTGTTCTTGTGCGGAAGAAAGCCAAACAGGTGTTTTCTTTTATCTCCTCCCTCCTTTCTTCGCTTTGTACTTTCTTCTTTCCCCTTTTTCTTTTACCTGCATAATAAAACGAATAAGGTGTGGCTGCTCACCTCACTTTTACCCCTTTTTTTTTCAGGTGATGCAAAAAACAAGAATTAGAGGAAACGAACAGAGAACTGAAGAAAAAGTTCCTTAGAAGCTCAAACTATATAAGCGAAATAATATTTTTATATATGAGCAGCTGAAAATACTCAAGATGTTTCAGGGCAGAATTCATGCTTCTGGCATCTATGATAATTTTCCATGTAGAGAATAAATACATCTGTGCAGGTCAGGAACGTCATGGTGGACGAATATTTATAAATACTGAACAGCATGGAGATTCTCTTACCATGAGCTACCCAGCCATGCTTGCACTGGTCACATGTCCGTAGGTGAATCTTTCCAGGCTGGAAACACTCGCATGTGCAGTTCACCAGTGTGCACCGAATGGCCTGCAGAAACACACACAAAAAACAAACCATGAAGCAGATGTGAAAAAAAAAATCTTTTTTTTTCCTGATCAGTGAATGCACCACAGAAAAATCAGGTCGTGTTGACAACAACAGGATAGAAGTTGTTTTCCTAGGGATGAAGTATTAAAATTAGGCCTAAGGAATGATAGCAGTTGTAAGAACAAAAAAGAACCACACGTCTGCTTTTCATTCATGCTGTTAACTTATGACTGACAAAAAATGAGAGCTTTAATAAAAATTGTGGAACTGAAAATGTGAAAACAAATTGGTCCGTTTAGGCGATTGAGGTATTAGCCTCTAACATGATGAAACATCCTGGATCTGGAAATGATGGACACCTTTTAAAAGTATCAGTGATAAAAAACAGGTTTAAAAACTCTTCAGGAAACAATGACAATATTTATGTACAAATTTATCTGATAGAAAAAATACAGGAATTTAGGCCCTCCACTCTGTAAACATTTTGTGCAAATATAAACCAAATATGGTCTATTATGAAGAAAACAACAAGAAACATCTTTATGGGGTGTTATGTTGGATTAAAAATTTGTAATGCAGGTGTAAACCTTAAGAAATGAAGTAGATCTGGGTAACATCCATTTTTATTTTTATTTGTTTTTAATAGTGCTTTAATAGGATCAGGGGTGTGGAGTTCAGAGCTATCCCCCGAACGGGAAACTTTTGCTCTGAATGGATTGTTTTCATTTATCAAAATTATCCCAGGTGGTTAAAAAGATATATTTTATTAATTAATCAAAAATTTGTTTCAGTTTAAAGCATATTTTGTCTCAACACGAGTTAATCTTCATCCAGGCAGACAAAGCATCTGCATAGTGCTGGTTTGAATTATTAAGCATCAGCAAAGCTTTGACATGTCATCAACCTACAAACTTAGTTAAACACTAGTAAACTCAAAGCAGATATCAGCTGCTACTGGACTCTAGGTTCTGTTGGAGCAAAGTAAAGCTTCTGCTTTCCAGATCCACAAGTTAGATGCAAGAGATATTTATTGTTTTCAGAGACCTAAAGAAGAATTAAAGTCGTAGGAAAGCGGCTGTTCCAAGTGTTGCATTTACGAATTCTCCCGAGTGGTGCACGACTTTACACAAGTGAATAAAGTGAATGTGATTGGTTGATTATAAAGAAGGCGGGATTGTTCTGGTGGAAGGTTAGCAGTTAGCAACTTAGTGCTACTTGGTCCCAATGGGAAATTCCATTGGGACCAAGTAGCACTAAATTGGTGGCTTAGAAACAACACTGTCAAGGAACGCTATGGACAACGGAAACATGCAAGAGGAGGAGAGTTTAGTGTCGGAGGTCGTGGATGAGTCTCCTCTGTCATACATTTTTTATTTTGAGGAGGAAAGCGGGGATGAAGTTGTTGTGGAAGAGGACACCAGGGCGGCAGAAGCTTGGTTTGGTGTAGAAGGCTTACAGCCGTACATGTTTGAGCCCTTGCCTCGCACCGTTGATATATGATTGGCCGAATTTAGGTGTTCTGACGTATAACTAACTGGCCTGCATAAGATAATGAAAAAAAAAACATATTTTAAGACAGGACTTTTTAAAAAAATGAAATTTTCTGATAAAGAGCACATTTATATACATGTTTAAGCCAGAATTATTTGACATTTAAATATGACTTTCCTACGACTTTAAATCATTTTGGATATGGTGACTTGTGATTTTAAAGTGTCCAAAAGAGCAAAAGCCCCACTTAAAAGAAAAAAAAAAAAAGAAAATATGGAGCCATTCTAATATAGAGGAGAAATACAGATAAGCTACAATTCTTTTTATGTGGCATCTATTTCCCAATGCCTCATAACCTGGAGAAATTGACTTTTTTTTAGAGAAACACTGGAATTTTTCAATCATAAGCTCCCAATCGGATGATCAGAGCTTTAGAAACAACAAAATTTCTCATGATAACAGTTTTTCCCAAAGCGCGGATGAATAAAGATGAAATAAATCACCATGAAAAAACAGACGCACCACAATCACAAAGAAAATTCAGTGGAAATCTTCAAAAACACACTTCCCCTCCTGAAAACACAGACCTGCAACTTGTTTGGACTCAGGCTCCATTACTCAACACTGGAGCTGCACTTCATCTGACCTCGGAAAGCTTTTAGTGCTGAAAGGTTAACTGTCCAGACATGAAGAGGGCATCCCAGTACATCACATACACCATGTCAGTGGTCGGCTGCTCCTTTGCTCTTACTTATTTCACAGAAATCTCCCAAATTAAAGTCATCCTTAACATTCTATTAATTAAAAAACAAACCGGCTACAATACAAATCGGTTTGCAGAAAAGTGTGCAAAACCAAACATCAGCCCAAATAAGAGCAGCTGCTGGGAGCTGAAAATATACTGCTGACATGGAGAAACAGAAAAAATATAGAATAAAGGGCTTTAAAAAATTAAAACCATTCATCTTGATATCAGCTCTCTATATATCATGTAAATGTATTTTTGCATCTTATCAATATGAATGGAAGAAGAGATAAAATGTGTAAGTCTGTTTACAGAGATCTGCAGCTGCAGGAGAACATGTGCAGAAACTTATCAAATGTTTTTTTTTCTTCAGAAAGAAGAAAAAAAAAACATGAACTCTCAGAACAGTTATGGTCTCACTTAAAATACAGAGCGGTGGCCAGACCTGGTGCTTTCAGAGTGTTTTTTTTTTAGATGTTAGTTTTTTTATTTTAATGTCACACAAAATCAGAACATGTCATCTTTATTTTGAAAGGTTAATCTAAACCATCCAAATGTAGGAAAACCAGTCGGAGAAAAGGAAGCAGTGCTGAGAGACCCACAGCTCCTCATACTCTCAGCTGATATTTTACGAATTTACAGCCTGAACTGTCTTTGCAATCAAATGATTTCTCCCTGACATTTTAGCGATGGAGATGTAGGTTTGTGGCCACGTCACTTTTATTACACAATATCAGAGCCAATCAGATCGGAGGGCCCCGATCGATCAGTGAAAAGCGCCTTTGCTGCTGCTTGCTTTTAAACTCTAGGGCCCATTCAGGTGTTTTAGAGCAGGACAGGAAAAAAAAAATCTTTGGATTAGCACCTCTTCTTGTAGTACAACATCTAAACCCTGTAATCTACTAAGAATCCCCTCCCGCTCGCCTTGAGGTGTTACATACCAGATTAGCTCCTGCAGGTGTCAAATGAACATGAGCTAATCTGAGATTAAACACAAAATAACACCACTTCTAACCACGTCGCCTCACAGTTCGACAACCGGGATGACACACGAGGCGACGGCGATTTGAATTTGCATCGTTTCTTAAGCCCTCCAGGTGCCTGTGAGGATTAGGCGTCATGTGTCAGGTTAGAGAGCACACAGAGAACGCTACGGAGCTTAATCCAGACATGTACGGTCTTAATTGGCGGAGGGTTGTTGCCCTCAACAGACAGAGCGGGCTGGGCTGTTTGCAGGTGATGTGCAGGAAATGTGAGTATCTTTAGAAGGAAAGACAGTTTTCCGCTCTGAGGGAATATTAGGAGATACTTTAAACTATCCAGATTTCAGGCTTATTTCTGCAGTGATATCAGAAATCTGTGTTTTTTGCCTTTAACTCAAATAATTTCGACCAATTCTTGGAGGTGATCAGGTCAGAAAAACCCAAATTCATTAAATAACCTCCTTCTACAATGAATATTGTCTACTGGCTGTTAAAAATGTAGGATTATCCCTTTAACCATTTTACTGGTATCAACAGACTGAGTCAAAAGTGACCGGGTAACAGACCACAGTGATCAAGCTTGACTTTAATCTACAGGTGCTGGTCATAAAATTAGAATATCATGAAAAAGTAGATTGATTTCAGTAATTCCATTTAAAAAGTAAAACTTGTATATTATATTCATACATTACATACAAACTCATATATTTCAGATGTTTATTTTGTTTAATTTTGATGATTACAAATGACAACAAATGAAAATCTCAAATTCATCATATCAGAAAATTAGAATATTGTGAAAAGGTTCAAAATTGATGGCCCCTGGTGCCACACTCTAATCAGCTAATTAACTCAAACCACCTGCAAAAGCCTTTAAATGGTCTTTCAGTCTAGTTCTATAGGCTACACAATCATGGGGAAGACTGCTGACTTGACAGTTGTCCAAAAGACGACCATCGACACCTTGCACAAGGAGGGCAAGACACAAAAGGTAATCGCTAAAGAGGCTGGCTGTTCACAGAGCTCAGTGTCCAAGCACATTAATAGAGAGGCGAAGGGAAGGAAAAGATGTGGTCGAAAAAAGTGTACAAGCAAGAGAGATAACCGCACCCTGGAGAGGATTGTGAAACAAAACCCATTCAAAAATGTGGGGGAGATTCACAAAGAGTGGACTGCAGCTGGAGTGAGTGCTTCAAGAACCACCACACACAGACGTATGAAAGACATGGGTTTCTGCTGTCGCATTCCTTGTGTCAATTCAATTCAATTCAGTTTATTTATATAGCGCCAAATTCACAACACATGTCATCTCAAGGCACTTTACAGTTCAACCAGATCAAATTGATACAAAGTTTTCTATCTAAGGAAAACCAGTTGATTGCATTGACTCATTGACTCAAATACAATCCCCCACACTAAGCATGCTTGTAGCGACAGTGGAGAGGAAAAACTCCCTTTTAACAGGAAGAAACCTCCAGCAGAACCAGGCTCAGTGTGAGCGGCCATCTGCCGAGGCCGACTGGGGTCAAGCCACTCTTGAACCACAGACAGCGTCAGAAGCGTCTTGCCTGGGCTAAAGAGAAACAGGACTGGACTGCTGGTGAGTGGTCCAAAGTCATGTTCTCTGATGAAAGTAAATTTTGCATTTCCTTTGGAAATCAAGGTCCCAGAGTCTGGAGGAAAAGAAGAGAGGCACTTCATCCACGTTGCTTGAAGTCCAGTGTAAAGTTTCCACAGTCAGTGATGGTTTGGGGTACCATGTCATCTGCTGGTGTTGGTCC